TTGACCAAAACAGGTAATTTTAGGTCTATCTTTTCTCTTTTTTAACAAAAGGGAAAAAATTTTTGACAATAACATGTATTTTTTAATCAAAATGGGTATTTTTAGAAAATAACAGGTATTTTTTTACAATAATCGACATTTTTGACCATAAGAGGTAATTTTAGGCTGGCATTTTTTATGTTTGACAGAAGGGGTAATTTCGGACAGTAATTTAGTACATTTCTGGATAGTAACTGGTATTATTTGATATAAAGGTGTATTTTTGACGTGTAACTGATATTTTTAAAAAAGGGGTAATTTTTTGGACATTCACAGGTACTTTTTTGATAAGCAAAGCCCTAGATCTGTACTGCATAAAAACCAAGTATCTTCTGCATTCAAATAGAGAATTTATTTTATATTTTAAAACAGCCTTTTTTGCTTTACAGAAACAAATAATCCGTCAAATAAATCGATTAGAACATATATGACAAATCAATGTTTACTTTTCGATTCTCAGCCGTCAACTGTCTAAAATATGCTTCACTGTGAATCACGGCGAACTCTAAGGTGCATAGAATCCCATTTAAAAACAAAATAAAACAGTGTAACCAACGTAGAAGATTTTATCGAATGAACTTAACGAACTGTCATAAATTGACGCTTATAGTTAAAGTCACGTTTTAAAATATTTTTATCACTTCATTAATCACTATTGTAATAAAAAACAATAGAGTAAATAAGATAAACTACACTGAAGAAGGTTCTTCAATTAATTATTAAAAAACACTTTAAAGTTTTAATTTAAAATTCTTCAATAAGAAAAGGGTTTAAGAAAAGAAATTTAATAATGACCCTTATCCTTAAAAATCTCCAAAAAGAAAAGAAATTTAATAATAGAAATAAAATTTAATAATGACCATCATCCTTAAAAAAAAACTCTAAAAAGAAAAAGGTTTAAAAAAAGAAATTTAATAATAGAAATTTAATAATGACCCTTATCCTTGAAATTCTCCAAAAAGAAAAGAAATTTTATAATGGAAATTTAATAATAGAAATAAAATTTAATAATGACCATCAACCTTAAAAAAATCTCTAAAAAGAAAAAGGTTTAAGAGAGGAAATTTAATAATAGAAATAAAATTTAATAATAGAAATTAAATAATAGAAATGAAATTTAATAATGACCCTCATCCTTAAAAAATCTCTAAAAAGAAAAAGGTTTAAGAAAAGAAATTTAATAATGGAAATTTAATAGTAGAAATTTAATAGTAGAAATTTAATAATAGAAATTTAATAATAGAAATTTAATAATAGAAATTTAATAATAGAAATTTAATAATAGAAATTTAATAATAGAAATAAAGTTTAATAATAGAAATTAAATAACAGAAATAAAATTTAATAATGACCCTCATCCTTAAAAAAATCTCTAAAAAGAAAAAGGTTTAAGAAAAGAAATTTAATAATAGAAATTTAATAATGACCCTTATCCTTAAAAAATCTCCAAAAAGAAAAGAAATTTAATAATGGAAATTTAATAATAGAAATAAAATTTAATAATGACCATCATCCTTAAAAAAATCTCTAACAAGAAAAATGTTTAAGAAAAGAAATTTAATAATAGAAAGGAAATTAAATAATAGAAATAAAATTTAAAAGAAATGAAATTTAATAATAGAAATTTAATCTCCATGAAAATTCATTATTATTGGTGCGATTCGTGTGAAACAAACGGCATTCCACTAAAATGTCATTATTTAACGCAAAAAAAAAACAAAATAAGATGGTATTATCGTATATCTTCGTTATTATTGGTCCAATCCGAACACCAGTAACGATTTTTTTGGGAATACGAACACCTTATAATTACAGCGTGATTTACCGTGAATAAATGAAGATAAAAATTGTTAAGAACCAATCGAAAAGTCCGTAAAGCAAAAAACAACCACTCGCCGAAACTTTAAAATCAATACGTTCGAAGATATGTAAAAAATACATCGTTTTGCCCGGTTCTAAATTTACTAAACAACCAAGGGGATGAAATGCGAATATTCTAAGGCAAAATCGGGGGAAGACATTTCTTACACGTGGTAACTTACTATGTACCTAACAAGTTACATATATTGTGACGATTATTGGATTTGAGGGAAATTTATTGAACCGGTTTCTATTTTACCATGTCGAGTGATGTTTACGAATCGATAATGTCAGACGTTTCGACATACGAACTACGATTATTGTGATGCAATGGTATCGAAATAAACGTTTCTTTTATAACTAGGAGTGGACAAAATATCGATAATTGTTTGACATATTAATTGATTTCTATATTCAATCCATTATTTACGATTAATCGAGTATTTACGATTAATCGATTATTTTCGATCAATCGATTCTTTTCGATTGTTAAATTATTTTCAATTAATCGATTAATTTCGATAAATTGATTTTTTCGATCAATAGATTATTTTTGGATTAATCGATTATTCGATTGTACTCGATTATTATTCCCGTTTTTTTATTAATCGATTATTTTCGAATAATCAAATTTTTTCGACCAATCGATTTTTTTGGATTAATCGAATCTTTTAGATAAATTAATTCTTTTCGATTCATCGATTATTTTCGATAAATTGATTAGTAGATTATTTTTTTCGATTAATCGATTCTTTTCAATCAATCGTTTTTGATCAACAGATTATCTTTTGAATAATCGATTATTTTTCGATTAATCAATTATTTTTTATTAATGAATTATTCTATTATTTTCAACTAATCCATAATTCAAATATTTTCGATTATTGTTCTTGAATTTTCGATTAATTTAATAATAATCGATTGTTCGAAAGGATCATTTTTGATTAATCGATTATTTCAGATCAAAAGATTATTTTTCGATTAATCGATTATTTTAGACGAATTGATTATTTTTTGATTATTTTCAATTAATTCATTAATCGATTATTCTCGAATTTTCAATTAGTAGATTTATTTTAACCAATCGATTCTTTTCGATTAATCGACTATTTTTTTATTATTCGATTCTGTTCTTACAATCGATTTTTCGAATCGATTATTTTAGATGAATTGATTAATTTTTTATTAATCGATTGTTTCTGATTATTCAATTCGATTATTTTTAATTAATCGATTTTAGAATAATTGATTTTGGATTAGTGGATTTTCGATTAATCGATTGTACTCGAATTTTCGATTAATCGACTCATTTTGACCAATCGATTCTTTTCGATAAATGGATTCTTCTCAATCAAACGTTCATCTTCGATTAATCGATTATTTTTCGATTAATCAAATATTTTTAGATTATTAATTAATAGATTTTAGATTAATCGATTATTTTTCGATTAATCTATTAATTTAATAATAATATTAATCGATCGTTCAATCAATAGATTATTTTTCGAATAGATCATTTTTGGTTAATCGATTCTTTCAGATCAAAAGATTATTTTTTGACTAATCGATTATATTAGATGAATTAATTATTTTTGGATTATTTTCAATTAATTCATTAATCGATTAATATTCTTGAATTTTCGATTATTTTCAATTAGCAAATTCATCATAACCAACCGATTCTTTTCGATTATTTTCAATTAGTAGATTCATTATAACCAACCGATTCTTTTCGATTAATCGATTATTTTCGATGAATCGATTTTGTTCTTACAATATATTATTTTTCAAATCGATTTTTTTAGATGAATTAATTTTTGATTAAACGATTATTTTGATTAATCAATTCGATTATTTTCAATTAATCGATTTTAGAATAATTGATTTTGGATTAGTGGATTTTCGAATAATCGATTGTACTCGAATTTTTGATTATTCGATTCAATTCGATCAATCGATTCTTTTCGGTGAATGGATTCTTCTTAATTAAGCGATTCTATTCGATTAATCGATTATTTTTCGATTAATCGAATGTTTTTAGATTAATCGAATGTTTTTAGATTATTAATAGATTTTAAATTAATAAATTATTTTTCGATTAATCGATTATAATTCTTGAATTTTCGATTAATTTAATAATATTAATCGATTGTACAATCAATAAATTATTTTTCGAATCAATCATTTTTTAGATGAAAAGATTATTTTTCGATTATTTTAATTAGTATATTCATTTTAACCAATCGATTCTTTTTGATCAATCGATTATTTTCAATTAATCGATTCTCTTCGAATAATCGATTATTTTCGATTAATTGATTATTTTCCATTAATCGATTATTTTCCATTAATCGATTATTTTCCATTAATCGATTATTTTAGATTAATCGATTATTTTCTATTAATCGATTATTTTCGATTAATCGATTCTGTTCTTACAATAGACTATTTTTCGAATCGATTATTTTATATAAGTTGATTAATTTTTGATTAATCGATTAATTTTTGATTAATCGATTAATTTTGATTAATTAATTCGATTATTTTCAATCAATCGATTTTCGATTAATCGATTTTAATCGACGAATCGATTCTTTTTAATTCGATTATTTTTAATTACTTGATTATTTTCGATTAATCGATTATTTTCGATTAATAGATTATTTTCGCTTAATCGATTATTTTCGATTAATGGATTATTCGATTATTTTCGATTAATCGATTCTGTTCTTACAATAGATTATTTTTCGAATCGATTATTTTAGATGAGTTGATTAATTTTTGATTAATCGATTAATTTTGATTAATTCGATTATTTTCAATCAATCGATTTTCGATTAGTGAATTTTCGATTAATCGATTTTACTCGAAATTTTAATTATTCGATTCTGGTCGACGAATCGATTCTTTTCGATCAATTGATTATTTTTCGATTAATCGATTGTTTTTAATTATTCGATTATTTTTAATTACTTGATTATTTTCGATTAATCGATTTTCAATTATTTTCGAATAAACGCTAATTCGATTGTTTTCGATTATTATTCTCGATTTTTTGATTAATCGATTATTTTCCAATAATTATTTCTTTTCGACCAATCGATTCTGTTCGATCAATAGATAATATTTCGAATCGATTATTTTTGATTAATCGATTCTTTTCAATCAATAGATTATTTTTCGATTAATCCATTATTTTAAATTAATCGATATTTTTGATTAATCGATTATTTTCCATGAATCGATTATTTTCAATTAATAATTATTTGTTGAATCGATTATTTTTCAATGAATTGATTATTTTTCGATTAAGCGCTTGTTCAATTATTACTCTCGATTATTTTCGAATAATCAATTCTTTTCAATTAATTGATTCTTCTCGAATAATCGATTATTTTCGATTAATCGATTATTTTCGATGAATCGATTCGTTTTCGATTTTTCTTTCGATATTATTTGAAAATATTAATCGATTAACAGATATCAATCGATTTCGCGATTATTCAATTATCGATTATTCGAAATCCATTACATTAAATTGATTAAAAATAATCGATTATTTTCGTTTAATAGAATATAATCGATTACTCGAAAATAATCGATTTATTTTAAATAATCGCCCAATCCTACTTATAACTCCTTATCAGCCTATCAACAGTATTATATTCTGTAATTTGACATTAAATATGTCAAAACGTCCGCCATATTACAGTCATATATATGAATTGTCAAATTTTAACAGATTAAAAATTAAAAATAATTTTTTCTTGTAAAAATGGAAATATAACAATAAATATGTCAAAACGTCCACCATCATGCAGTAACTAAAATCTTCATTTGAAGAAATTTCTGGTAAAATAAAAACGTCGGTGTACACTCCTTAAACGCTATTTCTATTTTGTTTGCTTACACACTAATTATTATCAGACGTGTCTTTGTGGAACAGGAGAATTAGCTATCGAGGCTGGTAGCGACCTTGCAGACTTATGTTCAACGTGACGAAAGACAGCCTCGTCCTCGAGGTTTATCTTCATCATCTGCACGAAAAGAACAACATTTTTAACATACATACGGCGAAAAAACTTCGAAAATGACATCCAAAACTTAATTACTCTGGATATTATTTTCTTCAAGAATAAAAAAACATTCTAGTATAATTAGGGACAAACTGTGGCACTTTTATTGATTTTTCCCCAAATCTGGGGAAATTTATAAAGATCTGGAAAAACCGCACGGCAGGAATCAGTAATAACTCCCCAAAAAATCAATACCTTCGGGTGCAGTGTTACCAGATCTACTCTACAAATTTCCCCAGATTTGGGGAAAAAACAAAAGTGCCACAGAGAGCCGCATATTCTATTCATTATTTCATTAATATAGCAGATTAATTGTTAAAAGCTTTAAAAAAAAAATAGACAAAAACGTTATAAAAAGACATTTTACATAAAAGCAATTATATTTCTATTGTATTTGTTGAGCTAAATACACCAGCGCCTACTGTAATAATAAATAATGTTATCGGTAAAAAAATATGTTCAGTGTTCCATAAAAATTAAAAACAAAACGCACAAACGTGAAGTTTTTCTATCAAGCCATTTCTAATGTCTAGTATTTATTCTATAACTAGTGTAGCATCTAAATTATTGAGCCAAACTACTCTACCTGTAATTCACCAAATATTTGTGTCAATTAAACAACCACTTTCTCAGTTTGCTTAAATAACAAAAAAAAAACACATTACGTCATTTGTTTATTATTATCACGAAACGTTTTTGGTGAATTGAATCATCTTGAAAGCCGTAGATGTTAAAAATTGGTAGAAGATGACCAACAATAAAAAACGTTGAATGGAAAATAAGAACTATAGTTGTATGGAGTAGAGAGAACACTTTTCAATTTTCTTCAGATCGGAATGGCAACGTCGCATCGAACAGTACCGAATGCTGCATTACATTATATATTATTTATATTGATAATGGCCCAGCCTTAGTAGCCATTTATAACAAAATTCTCGGAAATCATGAAAAGGAGACTAAAACAACGAAGGGTGTAAAAAAACGTGTAATAAAAATAAGGCAAGAGTAGTAAGTAAGTATACATACTAATTGACCCGGAACGTTAATGCAATTGAAGCAAAAATTAAACAGATATCGAATGTTTGAAGATAGATACAACAAGAATTAATTACATCTAACATTGTTTGATATTTAGGCTGAATGGCTAAACCAATATTGGAGAATTTCAAGGATGAATATTCAAATCATTTATATTAAATCAAATTAAAAGGAAACAAAAAATTGAAGGGTGTAAACAAATTCGTAATAAAAAATAAGTATTAACTGACGTAATGTCAATTGACCGTGGTTAAAAATGGTTGTTTAAATGACGAAAAATATTCGTGCCAATAAAAAAAACTAACGAAGACAAACCTATTTTAGGCCTTTCTATTACTGTATAAATCAATAAGATCAACAATGTATTATCAAAATCTCTGGAATCTACGTCCGTGGAGGCATGAAATAAAAACGTTTCAATTTTAATACCTACCAACCACCTTTGTTATAAACAGCATTTATTTAAAACACGCGGTATATCTAATTTAAAAAATTAAATGTTGCTTCCATTATACAATTATTTAAATGAAATAAGAGTGAAATTGCCTATGACTGTGACTGTAAACTGATGTTTAACAAAATATAAAAGTATAAACCTTAAAACGATTAACGAAAAACGACTAACGAAAAACGACTAACGAAAAACGATGAACGAAAAGCGATAAATGAAAAGCGATTAACGAAACAAGATTAACCAAAAACAATTAAAGAAAAGCGATTAGCAAAAAACGGTTAATGAAAAGCGATGAACCCAAAACGATGAGCGAAAAACAATGAATGGGAAAGGATTAAACGAAAAACGATTAAAAAAACGATGAACGAAACGCGATGAACGAAAAACGATGAAAGAAAAACAATTAACGAACACGATTAACGAAAAACCATCAACAAAAAACGATTAGCCAATGGAAAGAAGAAAAAGAAAACGAAAAAATAAAAAACATTAAGAATAATGAGAAATTAACAGTAAAAAACTATCGAAGAACGATTAACGATAACGAAAAACGATAGCCAAAAACGATAACGAAAAACTTTACGAAAACGATAATGAAAAACAATTAATCAGAAGAAAAAATAAAAAATTAACAAAAAACGATTAACGCAAAACAATGAATTTAAACGATTAACAAAAAACGTTTAACGATACCGATTAAACAAAATGAAAAATTAACGAAAAACGATCAACAAATACCGATTAACCAAGAACAAAATTAAAAAATTAACGAATAACGATAAACGAATAACGATAAACGAATAACGATAAACGAATAACGATAAACGAATAACGATAAACGAATAACGATAAACGAATAACGATAAACGAATAACGATAAACGAATAACGATAAACGAATAACGATAAACGAATAACGATAAACGAATAACGATAAACGAATAACGATAAACGAATAACGATAAACGAATAACGATAAACGAATAACGATAAACGAATAACGATAAACGAATAACGAATAACGATAAACGAATAACGATAAACGAATAACGATAAACGAATAACGATAAACGAATAACGATAAACGAATAACGATAAACGAATAACGATAAACGAATAACGATAAACGAATAACGATAAACGAATAACGATAAACGAATAACGATAAACGAATAACGATAAACGAATAACGATAAACGAATAACGATAAACGAATAACGATAAACGAATAACGATAAACGAATAACGATAAACGAATAACGATAAACGAATAACGATAAACGAATAACGATAAACGAATAACGATAAACGAATAACGATAAACGAATAACGATAAACGAATAACGATAAACGAATAACGATAAACGAATAACGATAAACGAATAACGATAAACGAATAACGATAAACGAATAACGATAAACGAATAACGATAAACGAATAACGATAAACGAATAACGATAAACGAATAACGATAAACGAATAACGATAAACGAATAACGATAAACGAATAACGATAAACGAATAACGATAAACGAATAACGATAAACGAATAACGATAAACGAATAACGATAAACGAGTAACGATAACGAAAAAGGTTAACAAAAAAACGATAATGAAAAACAATAGCGAAAAACGATTAACAAAAAAAAATGAAAAAAATGAAAAAATTATAAATAAAAATTAAAAAATGAGAAATTAAAAAATGAACGAAAAACGATTTATGAGTAACGTAAAACGACTAATAAAAAAAATAAAAATGAAAAAAAAGACAATAAAAATAAAAAAATTAAAGAAAAAACGAAAAACAACGAAAAACTGTAGCGACAAACGATAATGATAAACTGTAGCAAAAAACGATAGCGAAAAAGCATAACAAAAACGATAACAAAAAACGATAACAAAACCGATAACGAAAAACGACAACGAAAAATGATTAACAAAAAACGATTAACGAAAATCGATTAACAAAAAACGATTAACGATATCGAAAAATGATAACAAAAGGTAGTTAAAAGAAAAAACAATTAACGAATAACGATCAACCAAAAGAAAAACTAAAAATCAAATAGAAAATGAAAAAGAAGTATTAAACATTTTGGTAAAAAAAAATATAGAGGAAAACAATTTTTCTTAGTACTTCCCAGTCAAAAATATCATCGATATTAAAATTATATATGTATAATGGAGGCAAAACTCAAATATGAACATTACATAAAGAGTATTATAACTTTTTAAAAATTCGCAGTTACCTACTAATTATTTAATATTTTTTGGATAGAATTATACTCTTTAAAAATTGTTCAAAAATGTTAGAAAGTTAGTGACTTACACCCATAGAGCTGTTAAGAGCATTGCCAGTCATTTCACCTGTTTTGTCTGGATTCAGGGGACACACGAGGTCCCCATAATCGGCTTCCCCTTTCGATTTTTTTCTTTTCAACGAAAACTGAGACTTTTTCGGTACCTAAAACGAATATAACACAATTTACTTAACCCTTCATGTAACTTAATTCAACTTATGCCACATAATTTCATTACAATAACAAAATATACAGTGTATATTCCTAGAACGATTTCAGTGACACATAATTTATTTCCGATACCATTTTAAATAATAATTACCTTTAATTTCAATGCAGGCGTCAACGGAATATATCCCATCGTCGACTCACAGTCTCTTTTCTCTTGAATCACGTCTTTGCCCAGAAGATCGTTGAAATGCGTGTACAAATGGCGTCTCAACAACGTTTTGCCCGGCGGTATAGCCAAAAGAGCCGCCATCAATTCCGCGTTGAACTTCGATTCCAACACCATCAAGCCACCGTGAACGCCGGCGCCTCTCAAGTTCGGCGCGTATTCCGCCAAATCGACTGCTCTCAACCATTCCATTACCCTAAACATCACAAAAGTTATACTGACTTAAATCGCCACAAACGATTAAAGTCCTTAATTGATAGTTTCGATAACGATTAAAGTCAATAATTCATAGTATGACAACGAAAGTCCATAATTGATAACCTGACAACGATTAAAGTCCGTAATAATAGTCTGACAACGATTGAAGTCCATAGTGATAGTCTGAATACGATTAAAGTCCATAATTGATAGTCTAACAACGATTAAGGTCCATAATTATAGTCTAAGAACGATTAAAGTCCATTAATGAAAGTATGGCAACAATTAAAGTCCATAATGAGTCCGACAACGATTTAAGTACATAATTGATAGTCTGACATCGATTAAAGTCCATCATTGATAGTCTAACACCGATTAAAGTATATAATTGAGAGTCTGATAACAATCAAAGTTCATAATTGATAATCTGACAAAGATTGAAGTCCATATTTAATAATTAGACGACTAAAATTCATAAATGATAGTCTAAGAAATGATGAAAGTCTATAATTGATAACCTTATAATAAATAAAGTTCATAATTCAGTCTGACAATGATTAAAGTCCATAATTAATAATCTGAAAAGGATTAAAGTCCGTAATAATGGTCTGATAACTATTAAAGTTTATAATTGATAGTCTGGCAACGATTAAGGTCCATAATTATAGTCTGAGAACGATTAAAGTCCATAATTCATAGTGTGGCAACGATTAAAGTCCATAATAATAGTCCGATAAGGATTAAAGTCTATATGATATTCTCAGAACGATTAAAGTCCATCATTGATAGTCTAACACCGATTAAAGTATATAACTGATAATCTGACAACGATTGAAGTCCATATTTGATAATTTGACGACTAAAATTCATAAATAATAGTCTAGAAACGATGAAAGTCCATAACTGATAGGCTTATAATGAATAAAGTTCATAATTCAGCCTAACAATAATTAAAGTCCATAACTGATAGGCTTATAATGAATAAAGTTCATAATTTAGTCTGAAAACGATTAAAGTTGGTAATGATAGTCTGACAACGATTGACGTCCATAATGATAGTCTGACAACGATTGAAGTCCATCATTTATAGTCTGACAACGATTAATGTCCATAATTCATAGTATGGGAACGATTAAAGTTCATAATAATAGTGTGACAACGATTAAAGTACATAATTGATAATTTGACAACGATTAAAGTCTATATAATGTTCTGATAACAAATAAAGTCTATAATTAATCGTCTGTCAACGATTAAAGTTCATAATTTATAGTCTGATAACGATTAAAGCCCATGATTGATAGCCCGACAACGATTAAAGACCAGAATTGATAGCCCGACAACGATTAAAGTCCATATTTGATAATTGATAACGATTAAAGTCCATAAATGATAGTCTAGCAACGATTAAAGTCCATATATGATAATTTGATAACGATTAAAGTCTATAATGATAGTGACGATTTAAGTTCATAACTGATAGTATGACGACGAATAAAGCCAAAATGATAGCCTGACAACGATTAAAGTCAATAATGATAGTTTGACAACGTTTAAAGTCCTTATTTTATAGTCTGATAACGATTAAAGTCCATAATTGATAGCTCGACAACGATTAAAGTACAAAATTGATAGCCCAACAACGATTAAAGTCCATATTTGATGACTTGATAACGATTAAAGTCCATAAATGATAGTCTAGCAATAATTAAAGTCCATAATAGTCTTAGAATGTTAAAGTCCAAAATCATAGTCTGACGATTTAAGTTAATAATTGATAGTCTAACGACGAATAAAGCCAGAATTATAGTATGACAACGATTAAAGTCAATAATGATAGCTTGATAACCATTAAAGTCCATAATTGATAGCCCGTCAACGATTAAAGTCGAAAATTGATAGCCCAACAACGATTAAAGTCCATATTTGATGACTTGATAACGATTAAAGTCCATAAATGAGTCTAGCAACGTTTAAAGTCCATAATTGATAGTCTGATAACCATCAAAGTCCATAATTGATAGTGTAACAACGATTAAATTCCATATATGATAATTTGACAACTATTAAAGTCTATAAATTATAGTCTAGCAACGTTTAAAGTCCATAATTGATAGTCTTACAACGATTAAAGTCCCTAATAATAGTCCGACGACGAATAAAGCCAAAATGACAGTCTGAACGATTAAAGTCAATAATGATAGTTTGACAACGATTAAAATCCATCGTACAATGAACTGGAAACTAATTATATGAAAAACAAATTTGTAAAACCCTGTAAAGTGAAAAATATTAACTTTACAAAAAAAAGGTTTAAGATAAAAATTGTGGGGAATTTAATTGTCCACAAAAACGATCATTATAATTGTTATGATGAAACACGTAATTAAGAATATATGTGCTAAAAACATTTTTGATTCGATATGATCCCTAAAATGTTCAAATTTATCTTGAAAGAAATTGAGATCAACGATTTAAATATTTTAAATGTTCCCTCTCTCGCTTTGTTTATAAGATTGCTTAAAGTCAAAGTGAGAAAGGGCGTACATTATTATAAAGTTAGTTAAAATAAAGATCAGGCAATCTTGCATTCCATAGCCCTTACGTTGACTATACCATATAGAAAAACTTTAAAAATGCAGTGAACTTAAAATAAAGAAAGACGAATAACAGCCAAAGTATTATTGATACAAAAATTTTTTTAAATGAAATGTGTAGATAATTTTATAATAAACAAATTTGATATTATCCGTTTTCATCATAAAATTAATTTTAAACGAGTTATTTCCAAAAAACAATTATTTTTAAAAAACCTGTACTATCTAAAATGTTATCTTCTAGTGAATTTAACGGTCCATAAAAATGTTAATTATAATTTTTATGATAAAACATGTCAATAAAAAAGTATGTGCTATAAACACACCTGTGAGTGGTCCACAAAGATATCTGCTTCACACCCGGCTGTTGTGGATCATCTGGAAGAGATCTCCTCTGCAAACAACCCGGTTCATAATTATTTTCTCTCAGAACTTGAATACCCCTCTTGATACTGGCAACGTGTAACATTGACGTAACGTGCAACAATGCCAAGTCGTCGATTGTCAGTCTGTGAAGTACGCGTCCGTCTACCCTGTTGATTAAGAAGTTCTCTTTGTGCTGCGGCAAACCCGTATCGTCCAACCATCGTAACACCCAAGCGGTGTCTAGTTTACCTAAAAGAAAATATGCCCTGTGATTCCCAAAAAGTTATTCCTATATCACCATCATCAATGTTTGATTGGTGGAGGAATTAAGAAAAATTAATAAGATCAATTATTATCAAAATAAATTATTATTAAGATTAATTACTATCATGATAAATTATTATTAAGATCAATTACTATGGAGATAAATTAATATTAGGATCAATTTTTAATAGGTTAAATTACTATTAAGATCAATTCAATTATTATTAAGATGAATTATTAGCAACATCAATTATTATTAAAATAAATTACATTAATATTAAGATCAATTACTACAAAATAAATTAATTATTATTAAGATCATTTTTTAATAGGTTAAATTACTGTTAAGATCAATTAAATTATTATTAAGATAAATTAAATTATTAAGATGAATTAAATTAATTTAAAATATTATTAAGATCAATTACTATCAAAATAAATTATTATTAAGATCAACTACTATAAAGATAAATTATTATTAATATCAATTCTTAATTAGTTAAATTATTATTATTAAGATGAATTAAATTAATTTAAAATATTATTAAGATCAATTACTATCAAAATAAATTATTATTAAGATCAACTACTATAAAGATAAATTATTATTAATATCAATTCTTAATTAGTTAAATTATTATTATTAAGATAAATTAAATTACTAAGTTAAAATATTATTAAGATTAATTATTATCAAATTTAATTATTATTAAGATCAATTACTTTCAAGATAAATAATTATTAAGATAAATTAAATTATTAATAAGATATATCATTAGGATGAATTAATAAGATGAGTTATTAAGATGAAATATTAGGATAAATTGAGATAAGTTAAAATAAATTAAAATAAATTACGATAAATTAAGAAAAATTAAGCCAATTTAGATAAATTAAGATAAATTAAGATAAATTAATTAAGATAAATTAAGATAAATTAATATAAATTAAGATAAATTAATATAAATTAAGATAAATTAAGATAAATTAAGATAAATTAAGATAAATTAAGATAAATTAAGATAAATTAAGATAAATTAAGATAAATTAAGATAAATTAAGATAAATTAAGATAAATTAAGATAAATTAAGATAAATTAAGATAAATTAAGATAAATTAAGATAAATTAAGATAAATTAAGATAAATTAAGATAAATTAAGATAAATTAAGATAAATTAAGATAAATTAAGATAAATTAAGATAAATTAAGATAAATTAAGATAAATTAAGATAAATTAAGATAAATTAAGATAAATTAAGATAAATTAAGATAAATTAAGATAAATTAAGATAAATTAAGATAAATTAAGATAAATTAAGATAAATTAAGATAAATTAAGATAAATTAAGATAAATTAAGATAAATTAAGATAAATTAAGATAAATTAAGATAAATTAAGATAAATTAAGATAAATTAAGATAAATTAAGATAAATTAAGATAAATTAAGATAAATTAAGATAAATTAAGATAAATTAAGATAAATTAAGATAAATTAAGATAAATTAAGATAAATTAAGATAAATTAAGATAAATTAAGATAAATTAAGATAAATTAAGATAAATTAAGATAAATTAAGATAAATTAAGATAAATTAAGATAAATTAAGATAAATTAAGATAAATTAAGATAAATTAAGATAAATTAAGATAAATTAAGATAAATCAAAGCAAATTAAAATAAACTAAGACTAACCTGCTTGGGCTAAATAAAGATCGCTAGAACCATTGGCTTGCGTGTCGATCAACGCCAATTGCAGTTTCTTCCTGTGCAACGGATTTTTAATGTTCAATTCCTTTTCAATTTCGGAGATCGAAGCTTCTTGAAGCTGTTGACCGCTCTGCACCCAACGTTTAGCGTCGGCGACGTAGCTGTCCAGGCCTAAATCTTGCAGCCAATCGCATATGTTTTCAGTGTCCCATTCGGAGAAGGGCTTATCCGGTCTGCAAAAGGAATGAACCTGTTCATATCTGAAAAGAGTATAAGGAGGTTTAGAAAGAACGATTCGTTCGAATTAGGAATGCACATGTGTTAGTTGTCCTAAAATGTAATGGTAATGGATTAGCAGTACAAAATTTGAAAACATGACAATATGAAAACATGAAAATTTGAAAATTCTGGAAATAAAATAAGAATCTTACTTTTGTACAATCTGAGGTTCGCTCCATCCCAATCTGGCAGCCGCCGTCGCTCTGACGCCGCCTCTTTGGAACTCGCTCAATCCCGGTATGTCTTCCAGATTCCCGGAACCGGATCGTTTTATTTTGCCGAATATTTTCTTGATGCCCTTCGATTTGTTAAACGATATGGGTGATCCCGTGGAGTCGTTAAGCGCATCTTCTATTACTACTTTTTCTGTTTCCGCTAAGGAAATTAACAGAATCGTTAAAAACGAGGCAAAAATTTGCGAAAATTATCGGAGTTTATTAATTAAGAAAAAAATAAGATTAATTAAGACAAATTAGGATAAATTAGGAAAAAGAAGGATAAATTAGGATAATTAGGATAAATTAAGTTAATTTAGGATAAATTAAGATAAATTATTATAAATTAAATTAATATAAATGAAGATAAATGAAGATAAATAAAGATAAATGAATATAAATGAATATAAATGAATATAAATGAATATAAATGAATATAAATGAATATAAATGAATATAAATGAATATAAATGAATATAAATGAATATAAATGAATATAAATGAAGATAAATTAGGATAAATTAGGATAAATTATGATAAATTATGATAAATTATGATAAATTATGATAAATTATGATAAATTATGATAAATTATGATAAATTATGATAAATTATGATAAATTATGATAAATTATGATAAATTATGATAAATTATGATAAATTATGATAAATTATGATAAATTATGATAAATTATGATAAATTATGATAAATTATGATAAATTATGATAAATTATGATAAATTATGATAAATTATGATAAATTATGATAAATTATGATAAATTATGATAAATTATGATAAATTATGATAAATTATGATAAATTATGATAAATTATGATAAATTATGATAAATTATGATAAATTATGATAAATTATGATAAATTATGATAAATTATGATAAATTATGATAAATTATGATAAATTAAATTATGATAAATTAAGACAAGTAAAGATAAATTAAATTAAGATAAATTAGGATAAATTACAAAAAATTAAGATAAATTAAGATAAATTAAAATAAATTAAAATAAATTAAATTAGGATAAATTAGGACAAATTACAATAAAATGGGATAAAATAAATTGAGATAAATTAGGATAAATTAAGACAAATTAAGATAAGATAAATTATTAATTAAATTCAATTTTAATTCAGATTTTTTCGATATTAAATAAACATTGATAAGCAAATTTAAACATTTTAGTGCAAATTAATCTGTTATATAGGATTTGGTTTATTAATTTTTCAGTAGGTGCAAATCAAGCCAATTTTTAGCAAATTTTAAATTTAATTTCGTATTAAGCGAAAGCCTGGTCAGCAGCCATAAATTATACGGTTAGTGAATTATTATAGCATACATCATGCTTAAATAAAGTAGACCAGCGCTGTCACCTAGATTCGGAACAGAGAAACCCCTATGCCTGCCCCCCACCAGAGAGTAAAGTCCCCTACCGAAGGCTACTCCTTTTTTGGTACCGCCGTTAGCAGCCGCCGGATTGGCGTTACTATCGATCCCGCCGTTCGCCAGGAACTGTTGTCTCGGAAGGCTGCCGTAATGGACGTCTATTTGTCGCTTGTAGTTGGCTGGTGGAGTCTAAAACAAATCAGAGAGAAAAAAAAGTATTTTTACCAATAATTTTTTTTAACTTTTTGATAAATGGACACTTCTTCGAATTTTCCCCAGACCTGGCAAAACCGCACCTTATGAATCAATGGTAAGTAGGGCCTATAAATAACCAAAAACTTTACAAAAAAGCATCACAAAGGAGAAAGAGGGCCACTTATGCACACTTTTTGATTTTCCCCAGATCTGGGGAATTTGCAGGATACATCGCACAACATGAATCAATGTTAAGTACAGCCGATAATTAACCAAAACTTAACAAAAAAAAGCAACACAAAGGGGAAGGGGAGTCATTTGAGCACTTTTTGATTTTTCTCCAGATCTGGGGAAATTTGTACAGTAAATCTGGGATCACAGCACCGCATGAATCAATGGTACGTACGAACGAAAATTAAGCAGGAAGTTGATAAAAAAAGCAACACAAAGGGGAAGGTGAGGCACTTAAGCACACTTTTACGATTTTTCCCCAGATCTGGAGAATTTATAGGATACATCGCACCGCATAAATCAATGTTAATTATTCGGAAAGTTGACAAAAAAAAGCAACAAAAAGGGGAGTCACTTGAGAAATTTTCGATTTTTCCCCAGATCTGGGGAAATGTGTAGAGTATTTAGCAACTTCGCACAGCTAACAAATGGTAATTATGGCCAATAATAAACTAAAACATTAACAAAAAAGCAACATAAAGTGGAAGAAGAGTCACTTGAACACACTATCGATTTTCCCTAGATCTAAGGAAATTTTTAAAGTTTATCTAGCAACACAGTATCCCATGAATCAGTGGTACGTATGGTCAATTAGTAACTAGCACATTTTTTATTTTTCCTCAGATCTGGGGAAATTTGTAGAGTAAATATGGCAAAACCGCACCGTATGAATCAATAAGTAAGGCTAATAATTAACCAGAAACTTGACAAAAAGGCAACACAAAGTGGAAGGTAAGCCGCTTGAGTACTTTTCGATTTTTCCTCAGATCTGAAGAAATTTGTAGAGTAAATCTGGCAACATTGCATCGTATGAATCAATAAGTGAGGCTAATAATTAACCAAAAACTTGATAAAAAGGCAACACAAAGGAAAGAGCCACTCGCACATTTTTTCGATTTTTCCCCAGATCTGGGGAAATTTTTTAAATAAATCTGACATCACTCGCAATGTATGAATAAAAGGTAAATAGGGCAGATAAGTAACCAGAAACGACAAAAAAGACTAAACCGCTTCTCCGGTAGTCCAAATATGCTAAGAAAAAAAATTATGCAATCGATAAATGTGCCAAATTGACGTTTCATTTTACTCTTAACCGTTTACAGCAATTACGGGACAAGAAATAACCTGGACATAGAAATAACATCGAGTTATTAACAAAGAATGTTTATAAAGTAGGTTTTGGAAAAAATTCACACATATCAGTGTATAATTCTTTTAACTTATTGATAAATGGAAAGAGAAGCAGCTTGAAAACACTTTTTTAATTTTCCCCCAGATATGGGGAAATTTGTAGAATATATCTGGCAACACCGTACTACATGCATTAATGGTACAGCCAATAGTTAACCAGAAAGTTGACAAAAAAGACAACACCGCTTCTCCAGTAGATCGTTCAAATATGTTGACAAAAAAAATTACTGTCTATGCAACCGCTAAATGTGCCATGTGAGGTTTTAAATTTTGAACAAAGAGGAAGAATGTGAGCCAGTTAAGCAATTTTCTGATTTTTCCTCAGATATGAGGAAATTAACACAGTAGAGCTGGCAATATCGCAAGTACGAATCAATAGTAAATATGGCCGAGATTTAACCAGAAAAGAACCACTTGATCACATTTTTTCCCACATCTGGGGAAATTTGTAATCTGGCAACACATGGATCAAAGAAAAGTAGGACGGAAATTAAAAAATGGCAATGCCGCTTCTCCAGTAGACGGTTTAAGTGTGTCTAATTGAGGTTTTAACTTTTTGACAAAAAAGAAAAGGAAACACTTTTTCGATTTTTCCCCAGATCTGGGGAAATTTGTAGAGATTAGAACGTTCGTTGTAGGAATCGGCAAATAAAAAATGATTGCAGAGCACCTGGTAAAACAAATATTTTGCAATGTAATGGCCGAAAGGTCACCGAAATTTGCCGCATTTTCTCAATGTAATTTCGCGAGAGTTAACTTCAATTAATTTAATTCACTTACCTTTGGTCTCTGTGTATCCTGTTGGATTTGAGCATTGAACTCTATTCGCCTTGGGCTGTTTCCTGCTAACGTAACGGGACTGGGTGATGGTGATATTCTGTTTAATTGCTACAAGTAAATATAAAAAAAATAAAGATTTTAATCAAAAAATGTTTGTTATTTAAATAGTATTTTATCCAAATTGTGCAAAATGTCTCGGTTGTCACAGGAGGATGAAGAAATAAATATTAAAATTTAAGACTTTAACACTTTAATATAAAGTTGCTTCTACTTTTAGAATTAAACGCATACATAGTAAAATGTAGCGACAAAGAAATCTAAAGGTGTTTCGTAAAATGTAGTCAAAAATATCGATTGTGATGTCTTTTTAATTATATTTTATTTTTGTTTATAAGAAATTCTGCCAAATGATTTTTTTTTTAATTTCCATCGAACATGTACCTCGGACATTCCACTAGTAAAATGTATGTATTATCAACAATTTTTTTTATTCACTCGGGTTATTTCATTTACATAACAATCACTTGTGGAATTTCAAAATGTTCACAACCTTATATAAGAATTCCTCAATAACTATTGTTTACAACAAACAAAACGGAATTTGCATAACTTAATTATATAAATAATTTAAAAACCATTACCTGGTTACTAATGTGTTGTACAGGTGTAGAGGTTAAAGTAGGTTGGGATGACATTCTCGCAGGCATAATTGGAGGTTTCTTTATCTCTGCATTGTTATTGTAATGACTCCTCAAGTCCAAGTTTTCCCTTTCTAAAGCAGCTTGTTGTAGTTTCAGTTCGCTCATTATCGACATCAGTTCCAATTTTTGCGTTTCCAATGACGATCTAGACAACATTTCCTGCAATAAAGCGATTTTTACTCAATGGTATATTACTCAATATTGATCGCGAACTAATTGAGATACGGAGTCTAGTAGATATAGCAAAAAAAGTTTAAACATTATTAACTACTTTTTTCACCACTGAGATAGGAATAAAGAGGAGATGAACTTTTGCATTACACTTTACGTCACATGTCACACTGGAACTAGTCAGTTTTGGTGAGAATACATAGCTTTTTTTTTAAGCGTGTAAATGATATAAAAACATTTTCATTCTGTCAATCTTTAAATATAAAATTAATTAAAATACGACTCAAAATACGTCCCCACATCGCAAAATAATGTTTATGTCGTTTCTACTTCATTTTATCTTGATGTTTTCTACTAATCCGCAGAACCATTTACTAATTACACGTCCAGTGTCCCTGTCGAACTGATTTTTTTTTACGGTAAGTAACCCAAAACTCACCCTTTGTAATTTGTCCTCGGTATCAGATAAAAGTTGTTTCTTTTCTTGCAGCATCTTCTCCAAGTCGGATATCTTATCAGATTGAGCTTCGATTTGGTCTGACAAGACTTGTACTTGCAACTGAAGGTTGTCCTTTTCATATTGGATTTTTCTGAAGCGTTCGTCGAGGTCTCCTGACTGGAAAATGATAAAATTGATAAATTATTATAAATTAAAAAAAATTTGTACATCAATTCAAATTTTTAGATATTATGAATCTGTTTTGCAACTATTCTTTTTGTTTTATTAATAGTTTTTAATGCTTTTCAAACATATCGTTTTGCAACAATGGTTTGACATACAAAAATACACCCGTTTATGAAATATAAATTAATCACATACGTAATTAATAATATTAAAAAATATTTGGTTCACTTAAAATTTTAGCATTTTTAAAAAATAAAAATAAACGAAATAAAAAAAATAAGTTGTCTATATTATCTTTAATGCATTTGGTTACAAAGAAGAATAAAGTAAATAAAAAATAGTTAATAAAAGAATGATAAATAAATAATAAAATGGTAAGATGATAAAATGGTAAAAGCTAAAACAGTAAAACCGTAAATAGTAAATGGTAAATAATAAATAAATAACATAACCTTTTAAAATTATTATTTATGTATTTATTCTTTGCACATTTAACAAATTCAAATCTGAAATAATAGTAGTCATGACGATGATCTCTGTTTTCTTCTTTTTCTATATCATAAACGCGTCTAGCGTGGATTCCCCGTAGAATAAGCGAAATATGAAAAAGGATGTGATGCGATGATACCAGATAACAAGAAAAATCAAATTTTCTCACCCTCGATGCTTTTATAACAAGAGCGATAGACTTTTCGTTTTAGTGAAAAGGATTTGTTGCATAAAAGGGTATAGAAAAATGATATTTTGATTTTATTCGAATATATCTTCTAAAGGATCTTTTGCTCTTATATTTTATGGGGTATTACGGACCATAAGGCTACTATAGCTTTTTTATAAATAGATATTTTTTAAAAGAAAACAAAAAAAAATATAAAAAAACATTAATTACATAAAACATTAACAAAGACTGGACTCATTATTATAATATCATTAACGCAGAAGATCAAATCCTTTATCTCATACAAACAATTAATAATTTAACTGATAAAAATCGGTGTTCTCGAATTGAGGACCACTACCTGCACAGACCAAATAAGTGCACCGAATTGCGGACCGTACTAAGGATTAGGGATTAAGGTGGTAATGAGGGTTCATTGCGTTAACTAGATTACTGAGAGAGATTTTTGTACCTGGAAATATGACACGAATTGAAGAACAAACTTCTCAATAATTGAAGTATCTTATCACTATACCCATTTATAATATTATTATTTGTCTTCTGATGGATTTGCAAAATTTGAAGAAAAGTACGAATTCAGATAAAAATAGATATTTATTGCACAATTTACAATTTATAATTAATTTTTTAAACATATACATATTATTTACATTTAATACACTTTATGATAATTTGATGCGAATTTTACAAAATCTATTCGTTTTATAGAACCATTTTTATATTCTAACATTTTTGAAGTTAACATATTTAATCTTCGTCTAACAATTTTGTTGTTACATTTAACAGACTCCTTAAGGCTGTTAATACGAATATAAGTATCTGTTTGAAAATTGTTCAAAACATTTACAAATAAATACAATAAAGGGTGCATTGAATAGAAATTTGAATTAAATCTAGAATGAAAGGACTCGCATGCATTGGTAGAATTTTCTGTAGTTACAACAGCTTCAGCCCAAATTGTTGGTGGAAATAAAGAATTTTCTTCAATATAATTCTTTACTAAATAGTCAGCTAAATTTACCACCGCTTTATGCATATGATCGGGCTGAAATTCAGCCAAATCCAAAGCAAAACATTCTCCAACTTCTTCGGGTTTTAAAAAAGACAATCCAAAAAGATACCTCATCCATTTTCCAGTTGCACTTTTTTCATCTTGGTATTCTTTAGCCAATCCCAAACTCTGTATTTTTCTGTACCAAGCTTGGCCAAGATGAAACCTACATCCAATGATCTTTGTGGTGGGCCATTGCGCAGAAATTGCTTTGTGAATAGCTAGTTCATAATCAGCTACAATAATTTTTGGAACAAATATTAAATTAGCATTACAACACTTTTCTTTAAGAATAACGAAAAGTCTTTCGTATGTTAAACGAAGTTTATTCGGTAATAAACAAAAAGCTACTGGTATATAATGGCCGTTTTCTACGATATGAAGTGTGAACAACTGTAAAAAATGTTTCGTACAATATCGAAATGTTCCATCAAGATACACTTTGTCACTACTACACAAAAATTTTAAATTAGTATAGCACGAAAATACTACAATATTGTTAATATTATCAGTGGCCAAGAGAAATGGTTCATTTTTAATTGTTGTCAAATTTAATGTTGGTAAAATATCGAAAACATCTGATACATTGCTTGGTAAACGTGCTTGGACTTGACGTCTTTTGTAATACATATTATTTCTTATGTATGTAATGTCTTTTCTTGTCAAAGCGTCCATTGTATCACTGTTTTCCCTTAAAACAGAGTGTATAATTTTCGATGGCCGTTCTGTGATATCTTCTACAGCTTTCCGTTTGCTTGCTACACTCAAAATTTGTCAATTTAATTTCTTTATGTCATTTTCATGATTGTGCACTGTTTCTTTTCGAGAAATTATATTATTTGAACCTAGCGTAAATACTTTTGCGTTACATTTACTTACAGTACAAGTCCAAAACTTTTCACCACTTTTAAGAACCTTTTTTTCACGAAACTTATAATCATCCCACACAAGTAACGACTTTCCCTTTTCACTTAAGATCATTTTAATTTCACTCATTTTTACAAGACTGCTCAAAATAAACTAAACACAAAACACTCACTTCAAATATATATTAGAATTTCGAAAGTAAAGTAATAAAATGCTCGTTAACGCAATGAATCATCATTACAACCTTAATCCCTAATCCGCAATTCGGTGCACTTACTATAATTATTTCTCAGAAGCCTGGTCCTCAATTCGTGTCATATTTTCAGGTACAAAAATAAACCCTTCTTAATATTTTCATTTTGGTTCTCAATTCGTGTCTGCCCATAAAAATAGTTTCTTAATAAAACAAAAAACTAAATTAATTTGTAGAAAAGAATGAATAACAAATTATACAGCTGTAGATGAAACCAAACCATCTTTATGCGTATTTCTGGACCTTGTAAAGGCTTTTGACACTGTGGAGCCACTCATAATTGTTAGAGGTTTTGGAAGATTCAGGAATACGTGGCATTATAGTAGAATTCTTAAAAAGTTATTTGTTTGATAGAGAACAGATGGTAAAAGTTGAAAATAAATTAAGTGCAAGTCAAACAGTTAAATTTGGAATACCCCAAGGAACAGTGTTAGGGTCCTTTACTATTTTTAATTTATCTAAATAATATTTTAACTATTGATACTCTAGGTACTATCAATAGATTTGCAGGCGACACGGCGGTGTTTTATGAGGCTACCAGTTGGGAAGAATTAAAAGAAAAAGCTGAAGAGGATCTAAAATAAATACAAAAATGGTTTAAACATAAACAACACACAGTTAACTATGAGAAAACTTATTTTGTGTTCTCCTGTAGCTAAAAATATAATACGGTTTGAAAAATCGTTATTAAAAAAAATATTATTATTTAAACAACAAGTACAATATTTTTATGACTTTATTAATTGCAAGCTAACATCAGACTGAAGGTAAAATAAAAAAAAAATGTTAAACACTTGTTCAGAGATAACAAGTAACTTGAACTGGCGGCTGATGGAATTCTCGGAACTTCTCGACAAGTCAGCGGTTTCTATTATGTAATTCGCGTTATAATCATAAAATAAGTTAAATAATTTTATACTGGTTTTCTATAAAGTGCAGTAGATTTTAGTTAGTTCCTTAAAAGACTTCAAATACTTTTCAGTTAGTACTTGAAACCCTTAAAGAACTTTGTAGGATGTTTTCTTTTAAAGTAAAATATTTAGATATTTATTTATTTAAGAAACAAACAGGTGTAGCCTAATTACATGTTTCTATTCATATATTTATTAACTGAGGTACATAAAACGTGAACCAGAGTGTTTATATTATATTTTATACTTTAGATCCATGGATTAGTCTATTTAGGACCAATTTGTCCACTTCTGAGTAAAGATTAGGGATCTATAATAACCTTTAGCCTAATCAGGAAAAAGTTACTTTCAACTTTACTCAGAAGTGAAGAGACTGGCCCTTAGTCACCTTAGGATAATTCGGTGGTGTCCAATGGTAGTTTCTATCACCGTAATAACAACATGGAGGAACCACTGGTGCCATGTGATAAGAGCAACATTGCATATCGTGCCTATATCTGCCGAAGTCTCCATAAATGTCTGGATGGCTGCCTCTTTCCATGAATCTTTGATGCTGTTGTTCCCTCTCTAACATGGGGTTGCTGCCGTACCTTTAGTTTGTAACGATTTATTATTTGTTTTTTAAATAGATATACAAAAAGAAATGTAAATTTAATAAAACACATGCATGTTATAAAAAGTGTTTAATATTCACAATTAAATTTAAGGTTAATACTGCATAAAAGTCTTCTAGGTACTTATTAAAAAAATATTTGCTTAAATAATTAAATCCAATATACATATTGTACGAGTGTAACGCCAAAAAATATCTGCAAACTTATCTATTGTACGCGGTTTTGGAAGAGAATGCTACTAAAAGAGAAAGAAGTAAACTTTTCTTTGATATATCACTCAACCTAGGATGCTATTTAAAAAAATCATTTAGCGGAGGTATGCTAAACATTAAAGTCACCTAAATTTGATGTCATCTAAAAAATACAGAATGCAATACTATTCAATATAAAAATAACTTTTGGCTAGACTTTTTATCTTCCCTACCACAATGTTAATGGATACTGCCAAATGTCCATGTCAATCTAGTACTATCCCTGAGTAAATTGGTGGTCTGTCCAAGGTGAGTAGTGCTTGTCTGCTATCTATATAGATGCGCATGTTCCTTCCAGTGATATTGTTTCTGGCGATTTATTTTACTACTATGAAAATCGCTGTCAGATCAGTTTGATCTATACTGCCACTACCATTGGTCACAACCCATTTTATGTTAAGCTTTAAGGCTCTAGCTAGAGGGATATGCTTGACAGTTTCATATAGTTCACATCTTCTGTACAAAGGTGTATGTGAAGTTGACAAGATCTATCGTGAATTCCCCTAATATGAACTATAGCAAACTATTTTTAGTTTTTGATTTTTACTATTTTTTACTATTTTTATTGTTTTCACTGTTTTTACTGTTTTATTACTGGGTTTTACTATTTTTTATTGTTTTTAATTGTTCTTTATTGTTTTTTACTGTATATATTACTGTTTTTTACAGTTGCCTTTTACTTTTTTATTGTTGTTTATTTACCTGTTTTTTACTGTTTTTTTTTACTGTTTTTTAACTGTTTTTAATTATATTTTACTGTTTCATTTACTATTTTTTACTGCTTTTACTGTTTTTACTGTTTTTTAATGCTTTTTTACTGTTGTTCACCGTTTTTTTTTTTACAGTTTTTTACCTGTTTTTTTATCGTTTTTTTGTTCTTTTTTTATTGTTTTTGAATGTTTTTTTAGTGTTTTGTTATTGTTTTAACTGTTTCTTAGTGTTTTTTACTGTTTTATTACTGGGTTTTACTGTTTTATTACTGGATTTTTATTGTTTTTTTTTATTGTTTTTTACTGTATTTTAATGTTTTTTTTTTACCATTTTTTACAGTTGCTTCTACTCTTTCTTACTGTTGTTTATTTACTGTTTTTCATTGTTATTTATCTGTTTCTTTACTGTTTTCATTTTTACTATTTTTCAGATTTTTATTTACTGTTTTTTAACTGTATTTTAGTGTTTTATTTTATTGTTTTTTACAGTTATTTTTATTGTTTTAACTGTTTCTTAGTATTTTTACTGTATCTACTGTATTTACTGTTTTTACTGTTTATTACTGGGTTTTTACTGTTTATTACTGGTTTTTTTACTGTTTATTACTGGGTTTTTACTGTTTATTACTGGGTTTTTACTGTTTATTACGTTTTTTTAAATATTGTTTTTACTGGGTTTTTACTGCTTTTTACGGTTTTTTTTACTGTTTATTACTTGGTTTTACTGTTTTTACTGTTTATTACTGAGTTTTTACTGTTTGTTACTGGGTTTTTACTGTTTATTACTGGATTTTTACTGTTTTTAATTGCTTTTAATTGTTTTTAATTGTTTTTAATTGTTTTTTATTGTATATTACTGTTTTTTTACCATTTTTTACAGTTGCTTTTTACTCTTTTTTTACTGTTATTTATTTACTGTTTTTCACTGTTTCTTTTACTATTTTTCATCACTTATTTTACTGTTTTTACTTTTTTCTGTTTTTTACTGCTTTTTTTTACTGATTTTTACTGTTTTATATTGTTTTAACTGTTTCTTAGTGTTTTTACGGTTTTTGACTCTTTATTACTGTTTCTTACAACTGTTTGACTGTTTCTTTACTATTTTTACTATTTTTTTTTCATATTTTTATTTACTGTTTTCGCCTGTTTTTTAACTGTTATTTTTTCTGTTTTTTACTTTTTTACCTTTCTTTACTATTTTTTATTGTTTTTCACCTGATTGTTACTGTTTTTTTTATGTTTTGACCTGTTTTTATTTGTTTTTTAACTGTTTTTTACTGTTCTTTTTCTGTTTTTATTGTTTTTTTATTTACTGTTTTTACTGTTTTTTTCACACTTTTTAATGTTTTTTTTTTACCTGATTTTTACTGTTTTTTTTTTGTTTTCACTGTTTTTTAGTGTTTTTAAATGTATTTTACTGTTTTTACTGCTTTTTACGGTTTCTTTTTTTTATTGGTTTTTTTATTGTTTTCACTGTTTCTTAGTGTTTTTTACGGTTTTTGACTGTTTTTTTACTATTTCTTACTGTTCTTTTTAATTTATATTATTAGAGCATACATTATGGAGCCCAGATCTATATTAGTTTGTAGACTCTATCGGCGTTACACTCGTACAGTAGTTAGTAGTTAAATTTGAGGGCATTTCCAATCACAGATTTTCTGACTTACTCTGCCCATACCTCAGGGGATCTAACCTTTCATGCCGCCTCTGGAATCCATCGTAACAAAACTCGTGCGGGTTACAGCAAAAATTTTGGCACCCACCCGAGGACACCGTCCCTGTATAATCCTCCAATCTAGGCGGGCTCTTCAATATATGCGACGATCTCGCTTTCTGATCGCGTTCTATCCGATTCTGGTGTCTTTTTCTCCTATCCAGACTTTCAGTTGCTATTTTTTCTTTACGTGGCGTTTTTTCGCGGAAAGAACGACTTAGAGGCGGTTTGGCGGAGGGGAGCGGTTCCACTTCCTCCATTTTGGGCGGCGGGGCTTCAGGGGGTTCCTTACGGATCCATTGGAAATCGCTGTTGCAACGTGTTGAGCTATCTGCTTTAAATTACGGTTATTGATTGCAAGAAAAACTGAACAAGGCGTTACTGCTAATCAAAACCTGTTCGATAAACATATTGGGGTCTAGTATGGCGTAGGTTATTTAATGGACGTTTGGTTAACCAATTAACTCCAGCTGCTACTTTAGGAAATACAACTAATGTGGTAACAATAGGATGACGCTCATACCCAATTGGAACAACATTTTCTAAATCGTTGAATAGGAAATACATGACCTTTTAGACACCTGGTACAAAACTAGATACTTCAACTTAACTACTGCGCTTGAATTTTGAACAACATGAACTCTACTGACTAAGTTGCTGAAGTTGCTAAGACTTTTGACAAGGTTTGGCATAAAAGTTTGGTTCAAAAACGATTCTTGTATACTCAAGACAATCATAGCAACAGTATAAGCAATCAATTTTGTACAGGTATGTCCAAAGCTTGCGTTGGACTGTTTGACAGCCTTAATAGAGCTGAGTAGAAAAAAATAAAAGTAATGACGAGGTTGAGTTACTAGTCTTAAAGGATTTATTTGGCTTAGGACCCTTCTGGGCCAAATAGATATTGTTCAACTGCGAACGTATATCAAGACTGAGATTCTTTACACCTAATCTACTAGAAAAAACCAAGCTGGACAAAATATTCCAACAAATGAAGAGGTAGCAAAGAGGGAGGCTACAGACCCACAGTATTAACCAAATCAAATCTAATCTTGATTCGAAAATGAAATGAAATGCTATCGAAGCAATATGTAAAGATTATAATATCACCTATCTCAGGCTCATTCTAATAATTAAAAACAAAGCAAGAGCCTGAAGAGTCTTAAGGAAGTGTTCTTGGTTCCATTCTATATCTGCTCTATACAACTGAGTTGATTCGCTAATGATACTGATCTCCTTGCACCTGATCAGGATCAAGATAGATTAGCAAGAAACTGCCATTGGTAAGCACTCTGTCTGTCGTCAGCTGGACCAATAGAGGAATAATTAAAGTTAGATGTGCGCATTTTAAATGTTTTCTGGGGATTACAGAACATATTTATGATTAGATTTTATGGGTAGAACATATGAGATACATTAATAGGAGAGATGAGAGAGGTTGAAACCTTATCCTGTTTAGGGAACCCTGCCGAGACCCCTTAGGAGAGCAAAGAGATGCAGGTAAAAAAAAAACGTATTACCACATTTTCTATTCTTATTGAACAGGTCTTGATTTTCACGCAAACGTAATTGTAATAAAAGAAAAACATTGTTATTAAACCAAACTATTTCGGGGCAACAATGAAATTTAATAAAATGTAATCTAAATAAATTCAAAATGGATCTCTTATACCTCTTAAATTGGTTTGTCGTTCCGAAGACGTTGTTGACAAGTCCGAAGTGGAGCCCTGATTGGAGTAGACTTCGGACCATGCTTGGTTCTGTTGACCTTTCAAGGTCGAATCGTCTTCGATACTCGAATCATCTTCCTGTCCTGATAAATTAATTGCTACATCATGCGGAGTGAATAAATATAAATAATATAGATAATATGAATCAATAAATTAAATCAACACCGATAAAGTGTTAACAGCCCTTGTTTTATTTACCAAGAAAAGTTAATTGATTTTAAATATTTTTATTCGTATTTATGTAGATAAGAATTATTGTTTCAGTAAAAGATATTAAGTTAGTAGGTTTTTTTTCAATAGCCTCAGACTTGCAAGTCTATTTTCTACAATACTTTATAAATTCGTATATTTTTTGTTAGTAAAGGTTCCGAAAATTGATCGGTTATGTATCCGAAAAATAGAATGATAAATTTTTAGGAAATCACCAAATAAATCCCATACAACATCTACGAAATTTTTGAATCACCAAGGTTTAAACAAATTAAATGAAAAATTAAAAAAAAAATTACCCGCGGGAGGAGTTGAACCCACCTTTTCCAGGTCTACGCACAGCGCTCTTACCAATTGAGCTATCGCTGTCAAAATCAATGACTTCCAAATTATTAAAATGACTATAAGATTTTCAAATCCAACCTCGCGTTTTAAACATTTTCAATTCTACATATATTCGTTGTCTTCAGTAATGTGTGTTCTTTGTTACTGTTTCCCATTGCCACTTTAAGAACAGCAACAGTGAATGGTCGAGTAGAGAGACTTGAATTATTTATATTCATTATTTTAAAATATGACAGCTAATATTTATGCATTTTAAACATGTCATTGGCGTAGTTTGTATAATGAAAAAAATGTTTCTTTTAAAGCTATTGCATATGGCAACTCTGTCGGCAATCTAGGAAAATTACTGACATTACATCATTCAACTGTAATTTAAGCAAGATCGCGGAATGTGAAAATATTTCTAGAAACGCATATTTTGACTTTATCAGCTCGCCATTATTTTGAAACCAGTAAAGATCTGGAATTGATGTCTTTGATAAAATATTTTGTTAACAGTTTTGTCTGATGTCTGTAAATATGAGATTTTTTTATGATCTAGTTTAAAGATGGCAGTGTAACATTCCAGGAAACGAATAATATGACTTTATTAATTTATTTAAAAAACCAGTAAATATTCCGAATTGCTGTCTCCAACAAAATATTTTGACTACAGTTTTGTATGATTATTGTAAATATAAACTTTTTTAAATACTGGTTTGACGACAGTAATTGTTTAAAGATGGCAGTGTAACATGACTTTATCAATTCGCCATTTAAAAAACCAGTAAATATTCCGAATTGTTGTCTTCAAAAAAATATGTTGACAATAGTTTTGTATGATTTCTGTAAATACGAGATTTTTTAATTACTAGTTTAAAGGCTGTAAATGTTTAATAATGGCAATGTAAAATTTCTATAGACCCATAATTTGACTTTATCAACTTAATATTTTGAAATCAGTAAAGATTTCAAAATAATGAATTCAGCTAAATCTTTTAACAGTTTTGTATGATTTCTGTAAATATGAAATTTTGTTCATTACTGGTTTTAAGACACTGATTACTTAAAGAGAAGCACAATATTATGACTTTAATAGTTTGCCTTTTTAAAAACCAGTAAATATTTCAAATTGTTGCGGACAAAAAAATATTTTTACAACAGTTTTTTGTTTCTGTAAATATAAAATTTTGTTCATTACTGGTTTTAAGACAGTAATTGTTTAAATATGGCAGTGTAAAATTTTGAAAAATACCTAATTTGACTTTATCAGCTAGCCATTTTAAAATCAGTAAATATTATGAATTGCTGTCTTTAAAAAACGATTTTAACCACAGTTTTTAAACGTTTATATAAGTATGCTAGTTTTAATACAGTGATTGTATAAAGATGGCAGTGTAACATTTTTAGAAACGCATAATTTGACTATCAGTTCGTCAATTGAACAACAAGCAAGATTGAGAATTGCTGTTCTTAACAAAATATTTTGACAACAATTTTTTAATGTTTTTGTGGGTATGAAATTTAATCAGTACATACTAGTTGTAATACAGTGATTATTTAAAGATGGCAGTGTAATTTTTCTAGAAACGCGTAATTTGACTTTTTCAGGTCGCCATTTTAAAACCAGTAAAGATTTTCAATTGTTGTTCTCAAAAAAACATTTTGACAACAGATTTTAAACTTTTGTGTAGGTACGCAATTTTGTTATTACAGTGATTATTTAAATATGGCATTGAAACATTTCTTGAAATGCATAATTTGACTTTAACAGTTCGCCATTTTAAAACCAGTAAAAATTTTGAATTGCTGTTCCCAAAAAAAACATTTTGAACATAATTTTTAACCGTTTATGTTAATTATTAAATTTTTTGATCACTAGTTTTAAAAATGTAATAATTTAAAGATGGCAGTGTAAGATTTCGAGTAATGCATAATTTGACTTTAACAGTTCGCCATTTTTAATTCAATAAATATTTTGAATTTTAGTTTTCAACAAAATATTTCGACAACAGTTTTTAAACGTTTCTGTAAATATGACATTTTTGTCATTACTAATCTTAAGACAGTGATTATTTAAAGATGACATTGTAACCTTTTTAGAAATGCATAATTTGACTTTATCAGCTCGCCATTTTGAAACCGGTAAATATTTCAAATTGCTGTTTTCAACAAAATATTTCGACAACACTTTTATATGATTTATATAAATATGAAAATTTTTAATTCACCACATTTAAACCAATGTGTTTTTAAAGAGTACAGTGTCACATTATTTGAAATGCATAAATTGACTTTATCAACTCGCCATTTTACAACATGTAAATATTTCGAATTTTTGTCTTTATGAAATTATTACTACAAGTTTTTATGATTTTTATGAAGTTCAGATTTTTTAAAAAACTGAGTTTTTTTAACTATAATGTCTAATATGACTTTATCAGTCCTGAATTTTAGCACTATTATCTTCATAATCTGTTTGTTTATGTTATTTATTATTCTTACGTAAATAATATTTCTTCAATTATTGATAAATTTAAATATATAACAAAATTTAAGTAGTTATAAAAATTAAATGTCACTCATTTACTAATAACTTAAATAATTGGTACTACCTTTATTTAATTAATCCCCACTCTTTTGACCACTGTAAATTAGCGTAAAACAAATTATTTTTCACTGTGTTTCTACCACGAATTACTGGACAAATTTACAATATTTTCGTCGGTTTCAACAGTTTATACACACGCACTTCTTAAACACAAACTGACTCAGTTTTGATAAGAAGTATAAACATACATACCTCTTAGCACTCCAGAACCAGAACATGGCATATCATAGAAGGCTTATGGGTTCTAATTTTAAAAGTTTGTATATGATTTGGCCCTTGTCCAAATACACAATGTTCGAGTAAGAGTTTGGTTTACGAATGTAATCAATTGGATTTCGAATCATAGACATAGGTATGTTAATAAAAGATCCGGTACAGAATGCGGGGGGCTAAAAATATCCGCGACGGCGTGAATTAAGTTTCTCTAGATTACGTGATTAATTTAAGAGTTTTTCATAAACGGTTAATCAGAAATTCTTTAAAAGGCACAGGTGTTTAAATCAATATATCAAGAACTATTTTTTTACGGGAATAATAAATTTTTGGGAATATTATTAATAAAAAAAATTAAGAATAACGCCAAAGAATCAATAGGGAGTATACAGGGTATCCCTCAAATGTTTGTGCACAACAAATTCATTTAGCCAACTTTACCAGAGTCAAAAAGTTGATAGTTTCCAAATAATATAATTATTTGCACAAAATTTGGTAATTTGGGGTTTTTTTGGGATGATAAATCAAAAACTGAACTCAGTTTTGATTTACACTACAGATGGCGTCTCTAGAAGCACTTTGCACAGCATAAATTTTTTGTTCCTCGATAGCTTCCTCTGATCTGGTAATTTTTTGCGAAGTCTACCGCCGCGAACCAACTCCCCCAATCTAAGGTGTAAGATAACGATGAATTGTCGCAGGAGTAGAGGCCACATCGAAAGTTCCCTTAGGGGCGTGCACCGGGCGACACCTCCCAAGTAACCAATCTTCTCCTGATAATGCGGGGCTCTGTCAGGAAAGACGAATCTTTCCCTAGCTACTCGTAGGACTTATATGGATAATAAGAACAACAAAAACCCAAAACAAATACAAAAAAAAAATCTGGAGCTTTCAGACGAAAGCAGAAGAGGCTCCGACAAAACACCGGTACTAGCGGGACCTCTGAGCAGGAGGGACAGGGCGGCGCATCCTCCGCATCATTAGATGGAGCTAGTTCTTCCGACACAGGGCGGACCACTATACCAGTGAATGCTGGAACAGGGGTACGGGGGCAAACATTTTGCCCTGTCTCTACGGAGATGGGACAGAACGCGAGTCCTAGCACTTCAGGGACGGCAAAACAAAAAACAAAGTGCCAATAAATGCTGGACCAGGGGAACGGGGGTAAGCATCTCGTCCTTTCTCTACGGAGATGGGACAGAACGCGAGTCCTAGTACCTCAGGGATGGCAAAACAACAAAAAAGCATAGCTAAGGCTGTGTCCAGCGAGTAGGGAAGAACCGGGACTCAAAAGAGAAATCGGTCCGATACCAGCACGCCGGATAAAGGAAAAACTAAAAGGGCTAAGGATGCGAGAGCTGCGGGTCCGGGATCGACAGGTACCACATCTAATGTGGGGCCAGATGGGACCATGCTGGTATCATCGTGTTCTTATGCCTCTAAGGTAAACAATATTGGGGTAGCCATTGTACCAATAGACTATCCCAATAATATATTAACAACGGAACAGGGAGACCTAATAAGGACTGCACTGCTCAACAGACTCGAAGAACTAGACGAAGGAGGACTTTCACCCAGGTTCTCCGAAGCTAGAAGAAGAAACGGGAGTTTAAACCTTTCTTGCGTTGATCAAGCAACAAGAGATTGGGTTGAGCAGACCGTTAAAAGCATGGTACCTTGGGATGGTGTTAAACTCAAAGTCACAGACTCTGGGGAAGTAATGAA